CTGTGTCATTGCCTCCCATGCATCATTTTAGATAAACTCTGGAGGTGAGAAAAGGACTGTGCCGTACGACAACTGGGTGAGATAACACCATGTAACAAGAGGAGAGTGGTTTTGTGGTTTAACGTGATTGTTATCCTCCTGCATTTGTTACATACTTATCATAAACTAGTCTTTAAACTCTTTCTTGCGCATACAGAGCTTCTTTAAAGATACTGCAACAAATCTACTCTTACCAATGTTCCAGTCCAGTGAATTATCATCATCATCGTTCATCATCATGCCTTACTACATAATCTTTCCCAGCAACGCTATTTAAGAATCAAGAATCAAACGTATCAAGTTCATCACATTAATGCAATCCGATATGCCATTACATCCATCCCCACTGCATCAAGAGAATTCATAATGAGGCAACACAATCACTTCAAAAACAAAACATTTAAGCCTAAGCTTGTACTCTGTTGCACAGAACGTGCGATCGATTTACACACAATATCAAGCCACAAAGTCAAACCATCAGCCGAGGCAAAAAGCATTTTCAAGAAAGTTTACAGGTGGACAACTCACCTTAAAAACAAGGAAAATGCTCAAGTTTAATTGTATTTGACATGAACATTTGCTACTTAATCAACGTCACACAACTGACACTATATACACGTTTGGTTACAGTACTTAAAAACTTAAGTGTGTTCGTGACTTCAAATCCACTCTTAAGATTTTGGTATCATTTTGCAGCCAAGTTTTAAATAGCAGTTAAATTTACTCACTGTACAAAGTGATTTCAGCAATGCTCCATGCAAAGTATTTAGATCGTTCCCAAATTCTACTTCATTACAATTTTAGACAAAAAAAGTTGCAGAAAATTATTTTGCGGAGGCTATAGAATACAAATCGAATACTTACTCAAACAAAAAAAAAGCTTGATAAGTTCACCAGGGTTAACCCAATAATTATTTTGTTATTCATTCAGAAGAACCACTGAAACCACTTTTTGAAATCTAATATAAAAGTACAATTAGCATTCATGCCAGACAGTAGTTACATTTGGGTCACGCTGACAAACAAATTACGAACAAGAATGACCATCTTAATTGCAGAAACATGGAGCACATTAGCAACTTTAGCTCAGTGCCCTGTAGAGAATGTTTTAGGATAAAACATCAGCAGTTAACAAAAAAGGTCTTTGTGAGGCTTGCCGCTTGCTAAATTGCAGCATTCCAGTCATCTTTGCCTATATTCCCATAATCCACGGTTAAAAATAAATGGGGGTGTTGGGAGGACAGCAAGAGAAAAACAAGAAGTCCTGATATGTCGCCCATAAACCCAAGTCATAAAAATCCGTAATACCCTTTTTCCCTCATTATCTTCAAACAGCATTAAATTACTGCCTTGAAATCACTGTGGGGTACTTTTAATTTTTTTATTCATTTTACATGGATTTATTATTTTGGATTCACTTTTACGCCAATGCCACCCATCTCCACGAAATAAACTGGATCAAAGCACATCCTGTTAGGAGCACGATGCCTGGTACCGAACACTCAGCTTTACAAACACTGCTGAAATTTATAAGTTGAGTTTTATCTCCCTAAAGCACACGTTTTGCTCCTGGATTATGTGGCCAAACATCTTGAGGAGACTCTTACAGGACAGATGTTTGCTGAAGGTGACCCTTGCCGTTTCTGAAAAGCTTGGAGAATTAATGCAAAGGTAAACCGAGAGCCTCCTTACACAGTCTGTTAACTCCGGTCTAACAGATGATGATTATCTCTTGCATCTGAACTTCCAAGTTCAATGAACAAAATTCCAGGTAGCATCAGTTGTCACAGAACGTGACAGCAAACGAACAGGCCATTTAGCTCATCGGGTCTGCAGCTGGCATTTTTCTCCACACTTAAATTAATCCCAATCTCCTCTCACCGTAGTCCCTAGTGTTCCTCGTTTTCAAGCATCTAATTCCAGTTGAAAACAATTGGTGGATTTTGCCTCAACGACGGTTTGCAGCTGAGAATTTCACGTTGAAATCTCAAGCTCGACAAGGTAAGGCTAAACACATGCGAGTGAAGCTTTGCCCCTGCTGCACTGCCATTTTTGTGACGGATGCAGGATTTTGACAAGGACACCTGTGTTCATGGCATTTTTGGGGGGACCAGAGAGACATTTATAACAAGTAAATGGAACAAGAGTTGACTGACACCCACTGGTTTTGCATCGGTAACTGCAGGTAGGACAGAAGACTGCTGAGTGTTGAAGTCGATGATGAGAGTTCATGGGAAATCCCTCTGCACAATGTCACACAACTGACGATTAGATTAATGCAGGTTTCCAATTCAGCATTCCCACTACAAGTGTATCCCCTAACATGAAAGAGATTTTTTTTTCAAAAGTTAAGTCTGTGCAATGCACAACGGGAATATGCCTTGTAAGCACAGGTCATTTTTTTTTTGCAAAGGGGATATACACAGGCAAAATGGAAGGATCCTGTTGCAATGTCTATATTCCGCTGGTCCAGCTTTGGGTATTTCTGGGCAGTAAATCACACAGCAATCATTCTGGAGTGCCGTCTGCACAAGGGCTAAGAATAACAAGGTTCTGATGTGGACATTCTGATACTCCGACGGAAGAAATGTGCTGTGGTTCTGCACACATTTTCATTTCTCTTCATAATATTCAACATCAGCAAATTGCAGAATATTATTTGATGTGAAAGAAAACACATCCACGCGTTTTAAAGTTACAGAGGAAATCCAGTATTCAAAGAACTGAAATAAAAAGAACCTCTGTTTTTGGTATACGTTGGATTAATTTCAAAGAATATTAATAAAAAAAGTATGCACCTTCCACCTTGAGATTCAGCAAATCTTAAGAATACATACATTCAATTTTTTTTTGATCAAAGGCGATTTGTACCAATGGAAACTTGATCAGAGGAAAAACCTAGGCAGAGGCATGGGTGGCTACTGTTTCTAACAATAGGTGTTAGACTTCGGAAATACATTTCCATTTTGTAGCTTTTGTATAATTACAGATCTTTTGTACCACTTAACTGCTGCTTATACAACACAAGCTCAATGATTCAGCTGGATTTTTAACTCTGTTTCAAATAGCACATTTTAATCCTGAAATTAATTTTCTGAGGCAGAGATAATGTTCCTTCCTGTTTCTACAAGATCGCTCTGAAAATGGAATAAAACTTGACTTGCTGTAACCACTTTCTGCTACTGACTTTTCTACTGCTGTTCCCTGAAGGATACAAATACAAAGGGGCCTGGAGGAGACATTATAATACCAGTAAACACGAGGCTTCCTGTTCTGTCCAACAGGTCTACAGATGTGGCAGAGTGCAACAAATCCCACTGAACAATGGTGTAATTACCTTGATATCAAACACATTTTTGGAAATAGCTATCTATTGCGACAGCAGTTTATCCCATAGCCATCACTCTACAAGCTTCCGGTTTGTGAACTTCTGCACATAACAGACCCCGTTAAAACCCATAAAGTTCTCTTTCCTGCAATTAAATGAATCGTCTCTTACACTGATCGTAGCTCCTGGTTTATCGCAGTCACTGCTTCAGATTCAGTAATTCTACAGCGAGAAAGGAAGCAGCAATCTTCCTACACATCAAAACACTCAGTATTCCAATCAATACATTTGGCACAAATGATACTTTCTTCACCCATTAGTGATGTGCAGCAGCATCAGAGTAAACTAACTTTCCATTACATTACTCCGCTCATCCTCAGTGAAGCGAGGCTCTGTACGCAATTCCACAACTGTGTACCTAAAAATCCCAAACCCACATTCAAGGTAGAACAAGCTTGACACCGTTCCTGTTAACCACACAATGAAGAATGTACTGCCTATTCCCAATAAGCACTGTCGCAGATTAAAATCTTCAAGATATTCTGAGAATGTTTCATTAGTTTTGTGGTTCTCCTTTGGTAAGAGTGCCAATGCAGGTAACGTAAAACTCTGGAGTCAATCCCCTAAACCTTCCTGCTAATATTGTGCTAAGTATTCAAAAGACAAGAAATGGAGAATATGAACCCAAGCGCATGGAAGCTGGACTGGGGCTGTTGAGTCGATCCATCTGTTGCCACGCTCAGATCTGTCTGAAGTGGGTTAGCAATCGGACGTTGCTTTCGTTTATCTTGTTACAAGGCTAACAAATAGCAGGTGGATAGCACCTGGCTGCTAGATATTGAAGCCAGGTGCCTCGAGACTGAGTCAAAGCCGAAAATGGTGCTCTTCATGCTCTTAAAACTCCAAGCAGGTCTTAACCCAATCAACTGACAACCATTTAGTACTTTGCACTCTGCCTTTGGTGTGACCCTGGCTTATACTGATGTCATGCTTAATATGCAAGCTAAGAATATATCCAGATAAAGCTCTGACAACTGTCAGGTTATGATGCATATATATGTATGGGTGTGGTTTTCCAAAGGTGGTGGTGGGGGTGGGCTGGTGCAATAAGCCACCCCTGTCTCTGGAGAGCTTTTAAGTGTCCAATTTCAGCTGTAGGCTGCTGATGGAGAAGATTAACTTCTAATATAAACATCTGCCAGCTGCTTTGGCCTTGCACCATTGCCTGACTTCAGGAGAACAAAAACACACACTATCTGATGATCTTCCTTCCTCCCCCCCCCCACCCCACATCGCCATGCACACATACATACAACTTACCCACCGCATATTAAGTAACACTTCACATACTTCATTTTGTTTGCTTCAGTTACCTACGATTCAGTGCCTTATGCAAGTAAATACCTGATCTTGTCTAAAGTTAAAGATAATCTTATTTCTGCGCTAAACAAACCTGTACAAGATTGGGAGTAACCGTTACAATACTGAACAAGCCAACCCACCCCTCCCCTGCCCCCATTTATAATTTGGGCATGCACCAGAACAGTTCAATTTTAATCTCAAACCACGTTGACCGGAGAGAAATTTGAGCCAGTCTTCACAGCAGCGGCGAGCAAGTCCGCAGGCCACTCACCTCATTGCTACGTCGTACGACTCGGGGTGGATGCACGTCTGATCTAAAGGGTTTGGCTGCATCGTTTTGCTCTTCTTCTTGCTCGGTCTGACAGCTGTGCCTTCTCCCCCTCCTCCTCCTGCACCTGCTTTGGAACCGCTCCCCTTTCCGCCAGCCCCCTGACCTCCCGCAGCGCTGGTGGATGGCTGGCTGCTGAAAATGGAAAAAATACGGAAATGGCGTGCGCTGGCGTGAGCAGCGGCCACACACCCCCCACCCCCCCCAACAGGACACGGTGAACTTACGTTAGCCATCAGCCTCTTCGAAAGAGGTCAAACTTTCGAAAGAGGTTTCTTTTCCTGATACAATAGAATAACAATAATAATCGTTGATTTGACATAGCGCCTTATCACGTCCTTGAGACGCCTCAAAGCGCTTCGCAGAACACACTGTAAAGTGGATTCAATCTTATATCATCTCTATCACCAATCAGTTTAATGGAGTTGGAATCTTTTCTGCCCCAAACAGCGGCAAGAACCATCCTCCACTGCCACTCCACTCCACAGGAAGTCACTGGGATTGCTTGAAGAATTTTTTTTTGTGCTTTGACACAAGAGCAAACTGAAGGATATCTATTTACCTGCAAAATCCCTTTATATTTTCTGGGTTAATTCGGATGAAACCAGCGCACTGTTGAAATGTTTTTGGACCCAAGCCCCTGACTTCCTTCAGCTGTTCTCGGTTGATGAATGCCCCATTCTTCTCACGCCATTCAATTATACTTTTTGCTCTACTAGCATTAAGCCCTGCAACATGTCTGGAAAAAAAGAGAGAAATTAAGTTAAATGCAGGACAGATTTGAGGAAAAAAATCTTTTGGCCTCATGGCTTTAACATTCTTTGAAGACACAAGCATCATTAATCCTCAGAAGAAAAATGGGCTCCTGTTTATCCATCAGAGTGCTGTGGGTGACTTATTTTGTCCGGGTAGACTGTGGACGAGATAACTTACTCAGGGGACATTTTTCCTCCAGGCTTAAGGACTGGCTACAGGTCAAAAATGGACACGTTTGATTTACACTTCAATCTTTCGAGTTTCTGCTGGGTGTAAAAACTGGGCTTCCGAGAATTTTCATTCAATCCGAAACCCCTCCATTTGGCCTCACCTCCAGAACGGAGTTGGAGGAAAAAGGGAAAAGTGTTCCAAACTTTTTAAAAAAATATTAACTTTTAAATAGAATGTAAAAACCACAGACAAAGTAAAAATAATCCTTGCAAACTGGCATATTATCTGAAAGCATCTCACAAGTAACTGCTGTCTCGTACAGTGACCATGTACTTTTTTTTGCAAACAATGAAGAGAGAAAGAGAACGTCAATGAAGACGGGGCAAGTATTACATACAAGTTATTTCTTCCAATGTTTATTCAAGTTGTACAGGCTTAATATTACAGTGATGAAATCGCTACCAACATTTCAACCACTGTAATGTTACCGTGACGTTCGTTCAAAGTCACGGTATAGATGTTGAAGGATTAAGAAAATAGCCTGCCCAGGGAGCTTAGAATTCCCTAGACTTGCCCATGTCCCGCATCAGTATGTTACTGAAAGGGTGTTAAATTTCAGGATCAGCATTCACATTTATTTACAATCGACAGCAATCTAACCAGAACACTGAGAATCGTATCCAGAAGATAAGTTTCTGCTCTGAACATGAAATGGAAACGATTACTCAATTAGCAATCAATGTGAAATTGGTTGTAAAACCAAGTTGGCTCTGGTGACAAGATTTGTCCAGAACGTGCATTATGAGACCCAATTAGAGCAGTGCAGGCCATCCAGCAAATGTTGAAGACCTCCAAGCTTATTCAGCATTTTCCAAGCTACTTTTTAAGGCAAAAAAAAAGTTTGATAAACTTATCCAAAAGCTTGTTGAACCTTTTGGGGCACCTAGTTTTGAGAATTTAAATATTCTTATCATCTTAATAATAATAATGATAAAATTTGATTTGTAGCGCCTTTTCAAGACAGAGAGACGCCTTAAAGTGCTTCACAAAATATACTGTAAAGTGAATTGATTGTATATTTTGTGGGTGAAACGCAGCAGGCAACTGCGCACAGCAGTGTCCCACAAGGATACGATATAGAGTTTGGGACACAGCACGTGCAAGCAACTGCCAGGATGGTGGGAGGCAAACTGGATGGACCTTGGTCTTGTTTCGTCTAGTAAATTCTTTTATTCTTAAGTGCTATTAAAACTTTTTTTTTTAAAAATACATGCAGCACCAAACGCATTTGCGCAATCAATAACAAATTTACTGAAAGCACCACATCAAAGCAAATCATGCCACAATTGGCAACTTTCATGACATTTTTTTAAAAGAGCCAAATAGCGAGTGGATATTCATTGTATTGGTTCAACCATCAATTTTTTTTTAGATAAAACTGGTCACTCACTTCACGGCTTTTTTGTGCGACATTGCTGTGCTCAAATTTGCTGCCGTGTCCGCCTATAAAATATAGTCACCGTTACACTTTACGATAAATCCTGTTTTGAGATGACCTCCCAATGGGAAAGACGCTTTATCAATTGCAAGGAATATTAATATTATTAAATTTGTAGGCACGGAAAACCTATGAATGTCTTTAATAACAACGTGAGGCGATGAAAAAGGGAGGAAAGAAATCTGCAAAGTAAAACTGTGTTCTACTAAACACGTAATCGTTGAAGCTCAATAATCAGAATGACCAGTCTGAACAAAAGAAACCAAGAGGCATAAATTACTCAGGAGACACAAAAGTGATTTGAGATGACACGAAAGAAATAAAAACAACAATTGTGATCAGAAGTAGAAGTTGCCCAGTTGTTAAACTTGCACTTAGCATCTCATATCCTCATGGTTAATGTTACAATCAGTCCAGAGCAGCAGGCTTTACATCTACACAAAAGGTCATGATGGCAAACATTTTATACAGAAACAAAAATATGGAACAAGCTGTGCTAATATGCAGAAAATTGGCTCACAAATTTGCACTTGAAACTTTTTATAACAGCATGCAGAGGCCATTCCCATAACATTAATTTTCTAAAGAAATGAGGAATCTGACAAGAGGGGGGGAAAAAATAAATCAGCGATTGAATTTAATGAATATCTGATAAAACTATCATTGAGTTATTGGTTATTAAAGTGTAGTGATCGCAAACAGATGTCTGAGTTTGCAGGACAAAATCCTTGCTCAAGACGCAGACCAATTTTGTGGATAAAAAGTAGCTCGGCGCTCAATATTAATCCACACGCTGGAGTTTATGCACATTTCTTCAAACATGCACAAACCGGATTGATTACAATAATTGTCCAAATATTTTCGTTCAGAAGTATTTTCCTTGTTGTCATTTGAAATGCGTTTCACAGCCGGCTGATAAATGAACTTGAGAAAGCACACGTTAAGCTTAAAGCGAGATTAAATCCCGACGAAGGGAAGGAAGTTTGGGGCAAAATCTATCCCCGAACCATTGCCAGCACGTATATCTATGCTGAGCATTTTCAAGAGCATCTCCACCGTACTCTGTACTCAGACCCATGTCATTTCTACCTCACTCCGCAATTATTTGGTACTCGAAGACTGAGTCAATCCTATTGCTCCATTCAGATGAGTTTTAATGAGGATGGGCAGTGCTTCCTTGACCTTTCCCCACCTCATCTGAAATATGTCATCGCCCTCACTCGCTTTGAAAACCTGGATTGATGGGAGACAACTGTACAAGTGAGTATTGGCTCACACATAATAATAATAATAATAATAATAATAATCGCATGTTATATAGTGGTATTATTTCCACTCTTCCTGCTGCATCCTCCCAACCGCCGGTTCCTGTCGTTGCCACGGGAGGACGTTCACAAGGGAGGGAGGGAGGGAGGGGAAGTTGGAAATGGTCGCGGGCTGGATAAAATCACCCGCCGTCTACGCTCGACTGGCTCCGGCCTCCTTCTTGTCCATCAGCGACTGTGCTTTCAGCCACTTTGGGCTCGAAGATGTGGAACCATTGTGAGCTATATCCAGAGCAAGGTTACTGGGGGGGGGGGGAATTGACGGGAATTGTATCCACTTTGGAATCCTGCAGGTGAGGACCATTTCTTCTCTTCTTCCACTTTCAGGTTTTAGAACCAGCAAAAAAGCAAGAAAATTCCCAACATGTCAGATAGGTGGACACTGACATAAATTCTGAGACGATCAGAAAAACTAAGCGAGAGGACCCAGGTTCGATTCCCAGGAAGGACGAAACCTGAGGCAAGTTTCCTTACTCCACATGCCTCTGCTCACCTAGCAGTAAGTAGGAACCCGCTTGTTAGTCAATTGGTGGATCGCTTTTCCAAGGTAATAATCCCTTGAAACAAAGTAATAATAATAATTTGGTCACTCAATCTACGACTGTGTGTGGGACACTGCTTTGCGCAATTTCGCGCACAAAATATGCAGTTAATTCACTTTACAGTATATTCTGTGAAGCGCTTTGAGACATCTCAACAATGTGACAAGGCGCTATATCAAATGCATGAAATTATTATCATTATATCCGTCAGTCATTGTACATACTTTTGCTTTACCGGAAGGAGTTTTCATTTGCTTATTATTTCCATATTAAGAAATAATAATCCTTGAATTAGATATAGCGCCTTATCATGTCTTCGAGACGTCTCAAAGCTCTTCACAGAATAACAATATATTATTATGATTAGATTATACTATAAAGTGAACTGACTGTATATTTTATGGGCGAAATCCATTCAACAAATTAGGCCCTGCATTTGAACTGATTATCTTTTCACTTCCCATTGGACTCTCCTGTAAGAGTTTGATATGAATGAAAGTTGCTTAAAACAGTCGAAATGCAAATAAAATCCAATAGATAGCATGTAGATCACTGCGGTGGAAATGATAAATGATATGGCCATCCCAATGAACATAAATGTACATGACAACATCATTCCTGGAATATCAATGAATCCTGTAGGCTAAAGTACTAGGAAAGTTTCCCAATGTAAGTATGCACCGTTTTGCTACATACTGTATATCTGGATTATACTTTTTGATTGTAATCATTTATCTCGCTGACATAAAATGTACAGTTTTGAAGGTTACAAGCATTCAGTTCAAAGGGACAATGAGTTTAGTTAAGTCTGTAATTCGTAAATTGACACCATTTAACGTCCTCCATCCTACTTTTCTTCAAAGACATCTTAAACCATTCACAGCTAAAATACTGCCTAAACTTGTCACTGCCCTACAGCTGACGTGTCTAAAAGAAGACCAAAATGCACCAGCTGAGATTAAGTCAAGAGGCAGACTAAACAGAGACCGTATGATCCACTGCCATGTAATTATTGCAATGGGAAAGTTCTGCCTACCTCATGAGAGTTTCTGAGCTGATGTTGATATCCACACCTACAAAGCTGACACATTCTTCCACCACGCTATCCAAGGTAGCTTTGAGCAGAGTCTGTGCCACATCGTGCTGAAAGCAAAGACCAATCGCAGTTTAGGATATGCATAAAGAATTGTTTCAATCATGCACGTTTACAACAGAAAGCAACAAAGGGCGTCTCTTCAAATGTTAATTGTATAATCCTGTGCGGTATGCCAACACCTAACATTTTACCTCTCCATTTAGGAATTTGTGCTCTAAAGTATAGAATAATGAGGGCAATTTAGGTGCATTACTTTGGAGTTTTTAACTGATGTTTTCTGTAATAAAAGTTTGATAATGCTTTGATAAGTTAAATATACTCCTTTTAGCATTTGCCTCATGAGTGGTTAAGTTCGAGTATTAACAAACCTGGAGATGTAAAATATACATCTTTGAGGGGTTGAAGCTAGGGTGATCGAAACCACGTCGAAGAGGGTCTCGAGATGGATCTTGAAGGAGATTGAACAGCAAGAAGCCACAAAGAGCGATGAAGTGAATGACCAATTTTATTTGGGGGAGTGTTGGCCAGGACACTAGAAGTCTCAACCTGCACTACATGTCCCAAGGTCTGACGTGGTTTGAGAAATATAATTATCATCCTTGCATTCTTTGTATCACATCATTGAGACGTCTCAAAACACTTCACATGTGATACACACTGTGCTGTAAAGTCGTGGGATTGGATATATTTTGTGTGTGAACAAGGCAGCCAATTTTGCACACAGCGACATCCCACAAACAGCCTTGGAGCGAGTGACGATTTAAAAAAAAAATGTCAGCTGCTCGATGTTACATTGGTACGACCGAGAAAAAGCAAAACAAAATCAAGAAAAATCTTAATTCTTGGAGAACGGACAAGACACACAGGCAGGACAGAAATAAAAGAGGCAAAGTGCAATTCCACCCACACGTGTCAATGGATTTTGACAGTGCCTAAAATTGGAAAACATTTACATTGTACAAATCATTACTTTTCAAGAGGAGCATTTCATTCAAAGAGTCCACTGAGGTGCAGAAATTGCCTTGAATAAAAGGAATGTCCTGGGCAAACTGAATGGCCTTATTTCATTCCTATTTGGTTCTAAATAGATAATGTTAGGACACAAAAACAAACCATTCAGCCCAACTAGTCCGTGCCAGCATATCTATATAAATTATATCAAGGCAAACATTCAACATAGTTATACACCAGAAACCTGCGACACAAAAGGTTACAAGGTTAACATACAATGAAACCGGACCCACAATGATTTACTGTCAGGAGAAGGAACTTGGAAGCGATGTGGATGTATCAAGACGCTGCCACCTATTCCCCAATGTCAGGATTGCATATAAAGAAGTGGGTCTGACTCCACGCATTTCTGCATTTACAGAGGAAAACACATTAAAGAAAAAACGCTGGTCATCTTTCGCTTCATCTATTGGTTTTCAATTCATACCAAAATGAAAGGATAATAAAAAAAAACAGTACAAATAAACAGTGGGTTTATTTGAAGTTATTTAGTCACCTGTAGGTTTGTACATTCACCTGACGATTTAGAAACCCCTCTAATTTTAATTTTTAATAATAATAAATGTTTATATCTCAAGCAATTGAGTAAAAAGAACATCTTATTTCATGGTTTCCCTTTTGATCTTTGTGACTCTTTTGGAACTTCAATTCTTTGATGTGCGCCGAGTTTTTTTAAAAAAAAAGCCACAAGTTAATTTGCCTCTTGTAATGAACTACTCGTAAAGCATCATTACCGGTTGCTCTGGCTTTTGATCAAAAATCACAGTTGTTACCACCTTTTTACTTCCACAATTTTCTCTCTTCCATGGTGAAGGTGATGATTCATACTGAGCATGGGTCGATGGAGCGAGCACCAGCAGTTTCCACTAGTAAACCCGTCCTGTGGATGTCGACAAGCTATTTATCACAACTAAGGCCAATTTTATCCTCGTCCAACATCCATAACCAAATGGGAATCACAGCGTATGTCCAATTTTATCTTTCCCATGATCCATAAAATTGCATATTTTATATGTATTTAAATAGTGAATAGGAACCCGATCGTTTGTCGATGGGCGGATCGTTTTCTGCAGGTATTAAAACCCTCCAAAATAAATAAATAATAATTTGTTCACTCAATCCACGACTGTTTGTGGGGCACTGCTGTGTGCAATTACGCAGTCACTACACTTTAGAGTACATTCTGTAAAGCGCTTTGAGATGTCTCGAAGATGTGATAAGGTGCTACATTAAATGCAAGGATTATTATTATCATTATGACAATATTTGGACATAACGAACTAGGACAAGCCTAGCCTCACCCAATGTACAACAACTTAGATTTATATAGCACCCTTCATGCGAGTCGTGTCTCAGAGCACATAAATAAACAGAACCACATGAGAATTACAACCGAGGTCAACTTTACTTTCTCAATATCGATAGAAATTTGGGCATTTCAACAATGGGCAATTTACTTAATTGACCTCAGCACTGGCCCAGGACCTTTCAGGTCCACGTCCCTCTAAACTACACCATGTGGTTCACCTTCCAATGAGTCTCCAATTCCATAAACAAAAAAAAATCTTCAAACGCACACTTATTTTAACACTGCCTTTCACATCATTCTAAATGAGCATTTTCAAGGCACTTTTATTTTTTATATTTTATATTTTAGCTTGATTTGTCACAAGAGCTCGGACATTCTAATGTGTTTCTATATAATAAATTAAGGATTTCAGAAAAAAGTTGTTAAAACTTGACTATTTCTTAATTCATTATTTAATTCATAGATCGGTTCAAAGTCCCTCCTTGAAGTCAATCTCCTCTTCGTCCTTTCGACACATAGCAAACAAAAAAAAACCTCACTAAAGAGGAAAAATTCCAGCTGCTGGAAGTTGTGTGAAATACAAAGTCAATCATAAGTTACTCGCACTTAAGCCTCCAGCGAGTTAGTTACGGATCCCTCATACCTGGAAAATAACTGCTGTAACTCAAGACACGTTTCAAATATCCTCTACATATCAGCATGAGAAAATTGACATCTGAATGATTACGGCTAACAAATCTACAGCAGATCTTCCAGAAGAGGAAGCCATTTGTTTTAACTCAACACAACAATGAATCCCTTAAAGGATGGGTGTACTTTCCTCTCTTCTTTCCTCTTCAGACCCCTCCACCTTTGTTCCTGGAGAGAATGAGTAGTTGACTTGATCGAACCTCCTAATAATGTCAGATTCCTACTAAACAAACAAAATCTTGGGACAACTACCGTTTAGCATTATAGTCCTCAGGACAATACAGCTCTCAAATTGGGAGATTTTGTCTTGGGCTCAAGTCAAATTTCAATCAGAATCAAAGCAAACAAACTTGCCTTTTTATAGCACCAAAAACCTGTCAAAGCACTTCACAATAATTATGGTCATGTGTAGTGACTGTGTTTTGTAGGCAAACAATGGCAGTCACTTTACATAAAACGAAGATTGACCAAGAGGCACAAGTTGAATGACTGATTATCTGCAAAACAGTGACACTGGGAGAAACTTCCTTCTCTTTCTTAATAGTTTCACGGGATCTTTAACAGCCACCTAAAGAGTCAGGCTTGTCAGATAGAGAATCGCTGGTATGAACTCATATCATAGCTTAGCATTCTACTTCACGAAATTACACTGCAAGTAATGTTTTTTTCTTAAATAAGCACACAAAATACATTAGCAGGGCAGATGTTTGCAGTGTGATACACCGTAATCCTCAAGACAAAACTAATTGCAGGGTTGCCAATAGAACGTACAAGTATCCTCTTTGCCCTTGCTTCAGGGCGAAATAAGGTAGGGGTACTGATGGGGAGGGAGAAAAAAGGGCAATCTGCTTCACGGACATCTTCACGTGAAGCATAAAGGATTCAAAGTAAAGAGAGCTTATTTTTCCACTCACTGGAGAATGCTCATCAGGGTTTGATTGGCATGTGACAGCACAAAAAGTCATCAAGGTTAGCATGTGTTCAATGACCCGTGAAAGACAAAAGGCTGTGAGAAGCACAGGAAACGTTTGAAAAAACATTGCACTGTCTGGTCAGCACCAGAACGTGTCCAATTCTAAATGCAAGATACACAAATATTCATCTTATTATTCACAACATTATGTACACGCTTAATTTTTTGCAATCCTGCGAGGACAGTGATACTTGGCTACTTTTTGGAGAAGTATAAACTTCTGAAAAAATAAATAGCTTGCCCCATTCCGTTGCTCGACTAACTCTCTGGAATGTTAGCCTTCAAAGAGACAAAGAAATTTAAAAATTTTTTTTTTAAAAAAAAGTACACGTTTTCTGTGACATACATTGGGAAAATGTGCTTTTTTGTGAACTCCATTCCAAAACAAAAAAAATCCATAAAAACGTGCAGAGAGAAAAAAAATCTTCCTAGAAAGTTTCTGAGTTCATATAGCGCTCTGGAATGAGTTCAACTTTTCTGTTTTTCGATTTTGATGAGAAAATCCAAGTCTCAAAAGTTTTAACTACCACATCAGATGTTGGGTACAAAATACCTATGGATTTGACTGCTAAAATTCAGAGCTAACTGTTTTAACATTCCTTCACCCATTCACCTCGAGGAAATAAACACTAGCTGCGTTCCTTACTTCAACCCATGACCACCATTTTTCTCACTGGTATTGTTTTACTATTCAGACCAGAAATCTCGGTAGAGCAAACTGCTAACTCGTCACTCCCAGGGAAAGGAGTTCAGTGACGAGTTATCAGGAGTGGCAAGTTCAGCATTTGTATGTAAATAAATGCAGCCGGGATATGGAGTTCATGTTGACTTAAGTGGTCGTGACAAGTTAAGACAGGGTATAAGGAGTTTACTGTATAATAGCCAAATCTCTCATGACTCTCGATCCTTATTCCATCATGGATCTGTCAACAAGTGTACAATAATCAAAGAAACACTAAAGAAAATACTTTAAGACAGTGGAGCAAGAAGACAAAGTTTTAGAGCTACATTTTAAATACACACAAATCCCGCATTGCTGTTTTGGCACAATGAGCCACTATTGG